TCATTTAGACATTCTTAGCGTAAAAATTTGGAACGTTCATCATCAACAGTCGGGCTTTTGATCTCAAAGCCAGTTCCTCATTTAATATCTCTATTTATTCTCGTCGAGCTTGGGCGCCGCTTTCAAATTGACGTAGCGCCCTAAGCCATCTTACAGCCGGGAAATGAATTTTTCTCATTAAGTAATTACTTGCTCCACGCAGCGGCCGCCCTCGTCCAATGTCCAAGAGAGACTCGAGTCGAGCCAAGGCGCCAGCTTCTTGCACGGACAGCTTGGTAATTAAAACAGGTGTCGCGGAAGCTCGCTTTAATACCAACTTCGATACCTGAAAGGAGGCTGGCTACGCTGGAAAAAGAAAAGAGAGAGAGAGAGACGCCGAACAATGGGCCGAAACGAGTCAAATTAACACGTCGCAGAGTTTGTAGAAGAGAAATAAAAAATGGAAAATTAATTGAAATCTGCTTTGAAGATATTTTTTGGAAAATTGCAGGATGACTCCATGTTAAAATTATTAAACGGATCACGTGTCACTTACAAAGTAGAAGAGCGGAATTGAATGTGCGAGGTACGAGTAGTAATATTCGTGGCGCGATCAGACACGACAAGCAGCGTAATCACGTAGAAGCAGGCAGCGAGGCAAAGAACGCAGCGCGGCGCCGGGAGTGCGTCGTCTGCGGATCGTCGATTATTGTCTCCTAATTTCGTGGCTCCGGCTTGTCACGCATAACTGGTCCGCGTAAGCGGGCCCGAGAGAGGGAGGTGGCAGCGGGTTTAACCCAGATCGAAGCTCGGAAGCGCATCCCCAACGTACACGCTCGCGAGATTAGAGCTCCTGCTCCTTCTACACTTAATCACTTTTGCTAATTGCGCAATGATTGTTCGCGCGTTCGACTCGACTAGCTCGCGCGGGCGCTAGCTGAAGTTTCAATAATAGGGCTGTTACAGGCGAGCGCGTGTAATGCAGCTGGCGTACAAGCGTACAAGGGAGGAGCCGCCACCACCGCCGACGGTGATGAATGCCATAATAGCCCGAGCCCATTGTATGCCACTGTGCGCGCGCGAGAGAGAAAGAGAGAGAGGTGGAGATAAGAAAGTAATCACTCCGTCTGCACCCGTAGAACACATTATTCGATTACCAAGCCGATGGCTAGCCCCACTCGTTTAACAATTTCATTACTTGCTACTCGCGATTCTCCTACGTATCTCTTGAGTGCTCCAAGCAACCATTGTCGTGTCTGAGTGTCGGTGCCACAGCTTTATATTCTACAAGGAAGTAGATGTCGATGGGTGCGTGAGCTAACGTTTTGCTTAAATTTTAAGTATATCCATGCTTCCGCGAACCTCTTCCAAAATTGATGGATTATCGGCAAATTAGTAGACTTCATAAAAAAAAAAAAAGTTTGCTTATCGCGCTCGCTAGTTGTACTTCCGATGTAACAAGGCTTTTCAATTATTTACGATTACGAACTTTGCGGTTAGCCACTGTTTTCTTTTTTTTTTTCTTTAGCTTGGCAAAATTATTCACGACTGCTCGTAAAAAGTCTCGGTCGTGCTACCTCGCGCGACGAAAATAGTCAACGGCGCAACTATTGGACCGCCGATGAAAAAACTTTTGCGCGTTTGTAGTAAGACATCCCGAGTGGCTCGTTTGCCATATTTGCGAAATATTAGAAAACATTCATCAGAGCACGCTGGATATTTTCGCGCCGCACAATCGCAATAAATACAATGAGCGCGTGCACGGGGCAATCAGAAAATACGCTTGTCATTCAGCGAGCGGCCCACCGGGTATAATTTCCAGCTTGTCAATCGAAGGCCGATTTTAACGCCGAGTATTTAAACGCGTGCCAGACGCGACAATAACTCCGATAACACGGTAATTACTTTGCGCCTGTTCATTTCCGCCCTCCAATAAATATCGTTTGGCTCTGGCCACGATAAAGATGCTTGACGGGTACTTCGCGGAAAAAAAAAGATGAATAACTCTTCCTATGTTTACCATTCGAAAGAGATAATACGAAAGAACAGAATTTTGCGAGAAGAATTTACCGTGGAGTATAAATAAGCGCGTAGAAAAAGTGAGAGTACAGCGCTGAGGCTACGAAATTGAGAACTAAAGCGCTGACGAAAGTTGAGGAAAAAGGCATTTACCTTGTTCATCGCCGCTATCAGGCATAAAAACTTTTATGTTCCTAATTTGCGCTCCGATTATTGTGGATGCGGCTTATCGGGTCTAGTTGCCGACGTGCATACTTCGTCTTTCTCGCCGCTATCCGCGCTGCTAATTTTTAATTATATGCATCGTGTGCGGTACGCTCGTTAACACCTGGCCCGACGACGCGAGACACGTACGCGGATAATCAGCTCGCCCATATGTCTTTTCTCTGCTTTACATGATGGTTGATTTTGCTTAGTATTCTGTTCTTTGTATGATCTGTTTAACTATGCAGAAACCGACAAATGAGTTATGGTGCACATTAAATGCAATAAAGTTGTATTATGCAGGTAAATGAAAACGCGATCAAAAATCAATATTTTCACTTTATTACTATTTTTTATGCGAATTAATTGGTTTGTTTTCTATCGAAACAGGTTTGAGATTCTTTGAACGTTTTTCGTTTCGACTTCCAATTTTTCAACCGTAAGGATTGACCGAGGAAGCAAATAATAAAAATGATCCAGGTATGTTCATTGAAGTGGAAAGAGCTTCTATTTCTTTAGTTCGATACGTGTGATTTTAACGCCCTACAGCAAAGACAATCGACAAATACGAGAAAGAAAGGAAAGAATCGATATTGTCCCTCATAGAGCTTAATAAAAAATACACAAGGACATTCCTTTTCATCCCATTGGCGTTCCGTATAAATTAATTTGAAGAAGCGTCTTGGCCGACGAAAAAGAACGATCACTTCACAAGCTCACGAGCAAAGGTTGGAAGAGAGAGAAAAAACGTTGACACTCTAATTCGCGTTCATTCTTCTTTTTTTTGCCTCCTCTGTGAAAAGGAAGAAACCTCATTACCAGTGCCACTAGCTTTCTTCTTTAGCTTACTCTCGTTCACGGTGGCGCCAAAGACATTAGCATCGTAAATCCGAAAGTCAAGAAATAAACCGCGACGTAGCCCGTGAATGGCACGACGAGTTAAGTAGCTCCTTTGCCGACAAAGAATCTCGCCACGACTTGACGTGAGTGCCGTCACACTTTGCTCACACTTTTTATAAGCTAGTTTGGGCTTTCTCTTACGACGCTGCTTGGAATACCGTGGTGTGAAATTCCAGCTATATATTACATGAGAATTACCGTAATGCATATTTTTAATGACATTGCACAAAATAAAAGATATTTTATTTTTAAACTGATTTATTTCTTTGTGATGAAATGTTCTTGGTAAATCAAGTGGAATTGTAAAAAATGATTTTCACCAATTGTTTTCCAATGACGCGTTTAATGAAAGTACATTTTCCAAACTTATTCAATGACTCAACGTCGAAAATACTAAAGACAATTTCCATAAAAACATTAGATTAAGTACTTATCTGTAATTCATTCTCGCTTTAACTGACAGTGGATATACGCCTGATGATACTGGAACTGCTCTACTGAATACTACATATCCCATTGACACTGCACTCTACTTATAATAATAAACTTGGTGGGTGTGTGCGTGTGTGTGTATGTGTGAGCGCGCGCTCATAATGTCGGCCCACTACTTCATCTATTATCGCAAGGTCGTAATTGAATATCCCAAGATAATTTATAGGTAGACACCATAGGCATACAATATACGCACATACAGCAGTCTCTTAATCAGTTGTAAGCTACTTCGAGGAGTATAGTAGTAACGCAGCGTCCCTGAAGATGACGTGTGTACAAGCAGCAGGCGTACATCGCGGCATCGTGGGGGCTAAGGCGATGTGTCTGGTAATGAATTAACGCTCGTCTAAGCATAGAGCTCATAAGCTGCTGCTGCTGCTGCTGCTGCTGCTGCTCGCGCAGTGGGATGGCTTGGTCGATGTATACCGTGCACGCGACGACGATTATTATTATATGACGGCGGGTCGCTTTCGCGTGTGCAATTTGACACATACAGCCAGACTCATCTCCGTCGTCGCATCTGGCGGCTCTTCTCTCTCTCGACCTCGAGCTTTTCTTCTGGAATTCCGGCGCTTTTAATCATCGGCCGCTTCGCCCGCTTTCTCCTCAACTTCGGCCAAGAGTTATTGCCCAAAGCCGTGGAATTCGGCAGCGCTCCGAGGAAATTTTTGCGTTTCGTCCCCCCGTCCTCTCGCCGCGCTTCGGCGTGTAGCGCGGCCGTAATTAGGAAAGTGTCGGCGGACGACCTCTGCGTGCACACGTGTGCGTCTGGATTAGGCCAATTCCGTGCTCGTTATGAGTTACACGCGAAGCAAGCGTATAATGTACTTCCTCAAGCACGAGTCGACAACGTTCATGATTTTGCATTCGTGCCGCCGCTGCTTTCAACTTCCTTCGTCCTCGCGGCTGATTGCGTTTTTGGGTCCGATGAAATTTTAGGTTTTGGTGGCTCATCTCGTCAATTATATACTTGCTTGGTTAGTGCTGTTAGTTACTGCATTTCGATGTTGATCATGAATATGTATTATTTATTTTTTTAGAACAATAAATCAATTATTTCGAGAGTTTAATTATACATTGATAACAAAGTTGTGCTCATGCAATTGATGAAAATATACGATTTACATGTTTTTATGCAATTTACAATTCAAATTATTCACCGACAAATCCAACGAGATTGAAAATTATTCGAACGTGAGGCGCTTATTTCACGTTGATTACGCCGAATGAAAATGTTGTTCTTTCGCGTACGTGAGTGGAAGGACGGGAAGAAAAAAAAGTAACGTTGGCGAAAAAAAGCCGAAGAAAAACGAATTCCTGATGGAGAGATGCGTTGCGTAATATTCCCCGTGAAACTGTTGTAGCCTGGGAAAATTTCAATAAGCTTTCGTGTTTTATGGTTGCAGGACCGTCGTTTTGGGGCCTAATCAATCCCCAGTGGTCCCTGTGCAGCAAGGGCAGGCGGCAAAGTCCTATCAACATCGAGCCTGACAAGTTGCTCTTCGACCCCCACCTGAGGCCGATGAACGTGGACAAGCACAAGGTAATTTGTCAAAGCGTTGCCTCCCCTTGCAGCTTTCAGCCACCTCCTTGCCCATCCTTCTCTGTGTGTGATACTCCCTCTTACAGCTATCGTTGTCATCGTCCCTCAGTGGATCCCCTCGTGGAAACTCGTTTATACACTGAAACCGTGTAGGACTTTGAAAAACTTTTCGATTTCAAGCCAAATGAAGATGAAAGACCTTTCTGATAAGTCGTTAGAGACACTCGTCCTCTGTCTTTTTGCCTCCCTCCCCTTTTCTCCGTTTTCTTTTTTTTTTCTTTCTTTTTTTTTTTTATCGAGTTGAGTCGAGCTCTCTTTCGCATAGCCGATTTCGCGCGCTGAAACGACTCGCCTCTTGAGCGATTAATCGACTGCAATTAAAAAAGTTTCAAATTATACTTCGGATAAGCGCTGATTGATACGTTGCTCGCGGAGAAACGCGCACCTGCGTCCTGCGCCGGTTAATAACTGGATAATTGGACATTTAATGAAGCTTCTTTTTAGTATTATCGCAGTCGATCGCGATGCAATTACCGCGAGCTCGCTTTCGTTTTTCATCCGACGCGCGCAGCCCTGGAGCTTTTATTTCGTTTCGTTTCACGCGATGCTTGTTGCCTCTCGAGCCGTCGCTCGCTTGCCTCTCCAAATATGAAATTCATTCGTTTATCGAGCACCTGAGAAAATACTCCGTCGAAAGATTCGGCGGCGTATTATTAATGAGCAACTTTTTAAAAATATCACCGGCTCCATTCATCGTAGCCGAGCATCGCTACGTCGAGAGTATATATAAGCATACCCAATTATAATCTACTTATGACCCTTACACTCGGGCACGTGAATGTCAAGTGATCTGGGTGAAAAGTTGTGCTTGTGACTGGCGGTAAAAACGACGACAAAGCAATAATATCTGCGCGGGTACTGCAATGTAAGCTAGTGTAAGTTCGTCTGTATACGCGGCTGGCCGAACTTATGCTCTGGAACAACTTTAACGTTTGCTACGGAGTGTAAGCCGCTGGTGTAAGTTTGCGCGCGACAGAGAAAGGACACACTGCGCCTCCCTCAAAGTATGTGCGCCAACCCTCTCGAACATTCATCCTCTCTCTCACAGACACTCGTGTGAGTATACACATTGAGGTTGGCTACGCTCGGATTCATAAGTTCAGTATATAGATCTTTAGAGTTACCGTCAGAGACTTACGCTATACACACCATGTCGTCATTTCGCTAATTTCAACTTCGTCAAAGACGCTTTACACACATTAATTAAATACGATTTACATTGCCCTAGTGAATTAGCACGACCGCAACATTGCAATTTATCATAATTCAATTCCACATTTTTATATCGAACATCATCAAAGTACAATTATCTTTATTTTAGAATATTTACTCAATGAGAAAATTATTACAGTTTTTCAATTACATAAAACTTGTTTCAATATCAAATGAATAACTGAAAACCATTAAAAATTAATACCTGCATTAAATTTTCATTCTCAGAGTTGAAAACTCCTTCTCACTGAATAATTTGAAATACAGATAGGATATACTATATTGGAAATCATTCACAATCGTCTCATGTGATATAAAAAGGAGAAAATAAATGAATCAACTTCTCTCAGGGAATTTATTGTATGGATTTTGATAAAGCAATAAACCAGATACCTCATTACATTTTAACGACGTCAGCTTGGCAAAAGTCTATTATCCAATGCTGGTGGTGTGGAATCAAAACTGTACCTAGAGGGGATAAAATGAAGGGTGGACCACATGTAGTGGTACGAAGCGAGCGAGAGAGAGAGAGAGAGAGGGAGAGAGAGCTAGTGGTAAATGGCATTACTTTTCTTGGACATGCATTCCAACGTATACTGCGCTGCTACTGTACGAGAGGCGAGTGCTGCGATCATAAAATTTCTGCACGGCTCTGCTACTGCCGTTGAGTTTTTTTTACCAAACTACGCCTTGTTTTCTTTCGCCGCGTGAGATATTTCAACGTAGAGGGATTTTGCATACTGCTACTATTGTCGTGAGAGCCGTTTTTTCCGCGTAATGAAGTACGCACCCGAATCACGGATAAAGCATTGGGATATCGCCCTTTATTTTTGCGCACGAGACAAAGGAATAAAAAAAATATTGGCGAGAAACTACTTTTTCCTGATCCCTCTCCCACCTGGGCTTTACCTTTGTATTTCCGCTTTTGTTTCGTCGATTTTAGCCTTTCTTCAGGCCACTTTCGTTAACGTTCGATGAAACGTTTGTCGGTGATCGAAGGTAATACCATTTTGACGGTTTTGCAACGCCATTCACGTGCGCGTTCCGTGACTTTGTAATTATATGAATTTAGCTTTTTCATATTGCAACGATTTTACAAGTTTTTTTCGAAAAGAAAAGTTTCATTAAATCCGAATATTTATTATTCGGATGAATGCTGTTAAGAGCTCTCTTTTGCGAAAAGCGACGCAAAAAACTTTTTAAAGCCGTTTTCTCTCGGTCGAAATAACAATGTTTGCTTTTTAGTTTTTGATGAAAAATGTTCAGTCAGTTACAGATATTCGTTAGTATTTGAAAAATGTTGACGACACATGTGTCGATCGGCGCATTCTAACCGGTTGTATTGTTTAGGGGTTAAATATAGCCGGAAAAAAGAAGAAGTATCGGGGATGTTCCCATACGCGAAGTATATAAAGCTGGCTAAACTCAGGTGGAGTACGGAGTGAGAAATTGAAAAGGGAGTTTGACGAAAGAAAAGGTTCTCGCAGTTCTTTCTCCCCGGTATATGGCCCTTTAAAAAAGACAAATAGTCTCGGGGCATGTCGCACGGTTTGTCTCTCATTTCTCGTCTAGCTAGCAGCAGCTCATCGGATTCTACTCTTGCGCGCGCCGTAGGAATGAGAGAGGGAACGTGAAAAAAAGAAAGGAGAGAATTCAGTGCACGCACGCATAGCGGGCAACGAGGGCCTTTGTTCTCCATTTTTCTCGCGCAATTGCTGTAGTCGACGAAAGCTACGTCGCAGTTGCGACCTAGACCGTGATTTAGGACTACCATGAAGCTGTAAAGTATGCAGCGGCGCTGTGCCCTCGCAACTCTCGTTTTTATTTGATCGGATTCGCAATATAAACATCGACGCAGCACGTATGCAGTGAAGAGCGTATAGCAGTGTATAATAAATCCACAGATTAATCAGTCCTGATTTCATAATGCCGCTGTTTAACGAGCGCTACGTCAATGTAATATATACGTCTCTGAACGAACAGTGCGCTAGCTATATTTACGAACAGTAGGCGGCGGCTATGTCAATTTGACTATGGTGTTATTACCTCGCAAGCGCGTCTACGCGCAGTTAAAAACAAAGGAATAGCTCGCGCGCGATTCAGCCTTGTCTCATCAATCAATCAATCCGTGCAGGCCGCGCGCTCGTGTATGACTAACCTACGTACGTAAATATGCTGATACTCGCGCGCAAGAACCAACTTTCCATAATGGATCCCTCTTGCGGCCATTTCATCATGTCGCGCGGAGAGTTACAGTATTCATCATGCGTCGACTGCCACACGACAATGTACTTCTTGTCGAGTACGCAAACTGGATATTGCAATATTTCTTGCTCGTCAATTTGGACGCACTTTTTTACTCGATGCATAAATTACTCGACGAGAAAGTGCAGTCGTAACGGAGGTCCTCGAGAGGAGAGCGCGCAATACAAAATCTCGGATTTTTTTCGCGCATCGAATAAGCTTTAACTCTTCCTTCCGGATTCGTATAGTATGAGAGAAAGGGGAGGTACTCGGTGCTTAATCTTAGCCCGAACGCTTTCCGTCTCTCTCTTTCAGTCTAATAACATTCTCCTCGTTTCGCTTTCGCTGTCTTTCTCTTTCGTTCGCAGTTGCAGTCGACCCTAGGCAAGCCAAGGAGCAGCGATCTTTCTCTCTCTCTCTCTTCTCCCTTGTAGTTGGCGCCTCATACCATTGCCGGCGAATTTATACGCCGTTTAACCCGGTTAAAACTTTGGCACTTAAATTAAACAATAGAAGGAACACCGAGAGTCGAGCCCCTCGCGCGTACGTCTTCGCTCTCCTTCCTCTCTCGTCTTATTTCTTATACCTATCCTGTTACTTGCAGCAGCTTGCAGTCTTCTTCTTCTTCCTTTATTTTTCATTAGGCCGCGATCGCGTCGACTTTTCAAAAGTGTCTTACACCTCGTCTCACAACTTTATTACGGCCTCGATTTTTGCTTCCTCCCATACAGTTGCTCATCTTTAGGGACTGCTATTACTATTACCAGAGAGAGAGAGAGAGAGAGAAAACGCTCTCGCTGAAATGCTGTTTCACGATCATCGAGGGAATATCGTGCCACTTGACGTTTCTGCCGGTTCGTTCACTCCTTTCAAACGGGCTCTCCCACATGACTCTAAAAATGAATCTCTCCTTATCGACAACTTGCTTCATTTTTCATTTGATTGAATAATCTTCGAGACAAGCTTAGAATTGTAAAAAAAAATTAATTTGTGCAGCATTAGTCATCGTAACAATCATGAATTATGTGTAATGAAGAACCGTATAACCTCGATGAGTATGGTTATAATTCTTTATGATTTAATGGGATCATAGATAATTGTAACTTTCAGCAATTTATCCGTGCTCATAATATACGATGAATAACTTTCCTTAGATAAATAGTCATAAGTAAAATATTATACGAGGCTACGATTTTTTTCTCTGGATAAATTCATTGCTTTCCCAGCAAGCTCTTCGGCGTCTTCTAATTTTTCTTATCAACTATATTAATATACTAATTACTTCTGTTGAAATAAAAACTTTGTTCTTTTAACTTTTTTTGAAAAAGTAGAGTGGAGGATACGGTAGAGAAAAGTTTAATGGGGAGGAGGGGATGGGATGTCGTAAAATTTGCCTTTTATATATATATATATATATATATATATATATATATATATATATAACTCATAGATGAATTAATGAGAATGAATATAGGGGAGACCCA